AGCAGGCTTCCCGCGGAGCAGGGAGCCCGATGTGGGGCTCGATCCCAGGACCCCGGGATCATGACCTGAGCCGAAGGCAGACGCTTAACGACTGACCCACCCAGGTGCCCCAGTCAGGGTGTTGATAGAGGCTGCGGTCTCCTCTGAGGCTCAGAGTCCTCTTCCAAGCTCACCTGGTTTTTGGCGGAATTCATTTGTTTGTACCTGTAGAACTCATGACATTGTGCTTCTTCAAAGCCAGTAGGAGGGAGAGTCATTTCAAGAAGGCCCCAGTCCAGTTGCTCTTTTGAGGGTTTTCATCTGATAAGTCAGGTACACTCAGGATATCCTCTCTTTTGTTTAACTCAAAGTTAACTGATTTGTAACCTTAATTACATCTGCAGAAACTTTTCATCTTTGCCATAATTATGTAAGTAACATCCATCATATTCCCAGGTCTTGTCCACACTCAGGAGGAGGACATTATACATGGCCTGTGCACCAGGGGGTGAGAACCTGGGAACTGTCTTAGAATTCTGCTTTCTACACTGCCTTTATTATTGGTAGTATGAGTCTCTTCTGTATAAAATAAAATGTTATGTTATTTTTAGTCCTGATGTTCCTGCTGATATTTAGGAAATCTGATATCCAGTGGTTTGAAAATAGGTGTTTAATAGCTAAGTAAATAGATCAAGGCAATTAAGAAAGATGAAATTGGAGTAACATTTTTACTGTACAAAAAGAGAATGCATCTCAGCCACATACTTATGAATGTTAGGATTTCCCGGTTTGTAGATATGATACGAATCCTCTGAGGGCTCACATCAGGGACATGGGGAAGAGATAAGCCAGGTTTCTTAGCCTGCTTTTGATCAATATGACTGCATGAAAGTTTGTCCAAGGAAATCTCTGGACCTTGGATTCCTCACACAGTTCTACTAGAAGACATTTGTTGGGTTGTGGGGAATGGCAGTTAGTCATTTGGTTTTTGTCATTGTTTTAAATTGTTATAGAGTGATTTGTCATAAGTTTGCATTGTTTATTCCCTAGATCCTTCAGTATGATATGTGGAATGTTACTCCCACAGACCTGTGGGACTGGAAACTTCTCAAGGAGAAGATTGCAAAGTAAGCAAAGAGATGTAAGGTAGTTTTGAAGTAAGGAGGGTTTAGGTTCTCATTCTGGCTTTCAGAAGTTAGGTGTGTTATTTTAACTTCTGAAACTCATTTTTTCTCTTTTAAATGGGGCTAAAATGACCTATCTACAGAACTATTTTTGTAAAAATACTTTGTAAGATAATATATGAATAGTAACCTACAAATTGCTTGGTGCAATGAAAGCATTTTAATAAATGGTAGGTATTATTAGTTGATCTTATTTTAGGGGCTTAACTACCTGGATTAAGCAATTCTTTTTCTCATTAAACTTCATATTTCCAAGTGTGCTTGCTTTTTAAAAGTTTTTCACTTTTATTTATTGCTTAACTCCCTTGGGCACCTAAATGGCTTTTGCTGAATTGGTTGTCATAGGAGTAGGTTAGGAATTTGGAAGAGCTTTTGGAGGGTAATATGTTAAACTGTGAAAGAAAAATGTAAAACTTGAGGTTTTTAAGGCCTTTCAAGCTAATAAACATAAAAGATTTAAGGGCGGGTAGCATGTTTTGCTTAATGAATAATAAAACAAATTGTTTTCACTTTCTTCATGAGCCTGTCATCTCTGGGTTAATGCATATGCAGAGTGTTTAATGTTTACAGAAAGAAGCAGTAACTTTAAAATACTCTTTAAAAAATATCTATTTGCCTTAAAATTGTTTTATTACTTAATAATACATGTTAGAAAATTTTGGAAAACGTATGTGTGAAAGGGAGTAAAATGAAATTATCCCAATACCACCTCCTAAAAATCTGTTTGTATCTTTTTGTCTTTCATCTTTCAGACTTTCTTCTGAATGTGTGTGCCTGGGTACATTTATATGCAAATTCAACTTTTACAAAAATGGACATGTATTTTATTTTTTGTTTTTTTCTTCCTCAAAATACCATGGATATTTTTCTATACACAACTTTTTAAAATTTCAAAATTAATACATGAATAGCAAAGTTCAAATACAGAAACAAAATGGAAGGTGAAAGCCCTTCTTTATACCTCTTCTGCCAACCACTTGTTCCACAAAACAAATACAAACCAACTTATTCCTTTTACCAGAGATAACCATTGTTAATGGTGTGTATTTTTCTAGACCTTTTCCAGTACATTTGCAGATGCACACAGTTTTGTTATAAAAATATGATCAAACTTGACATATTCTAAGATTTATTTTGGACATCTTTCTCTTAGTACATGCAGACCTACCTAATGTTTTTAATGATTACAGACAATTCCAGTTTGGTGTGTCTTTTATATATATATATTATATATATATATATGACTTTTCAAAATGTTTTCCTATCTTTGGACAGGAAATCACTGTCCACTTTGCTGAGGAAGTAAGACATGAAGTCGGTTGGTGGTTTTCTTGATACCTCAAAACTAGAGAGTGACAAAGTGAGATTAAGATCCTGGTTGTACAGATTCCATTAGGATATGAAGCTTTAAGCTAAGTACTGTATAAATCCAGAGGTATAGAATATAGGAAAGACCAAACTCTTGGTGTTTGAGAAACTTAAGACTTACTAAGTAAGGTGAGACATGTAGCACAAGTAAAGTGTACATAAAGGTACAGGTCATAGAAAATGTTTGCAGAAGAAATACTTATATTTGGCTTTTGTATTTAATATTTTCTGCCTGGTCGGGAAAAATGTTCTAGAGTGGTCATCTCTTAGGCTGAGCTTTGAAGGACGAGCTAAGGGCAGTTTGAAGATTTCTCAGTGTTCAGATAGTATATTCTTCCTTAAAGCACTCTCTTTGGCAGTGAATAGAGTCAAAAGATGTTAAGCTTCCTCTAGGAACTTATGATTGAAGAGGTCATAGAGGAAGTCAGGAATATACTTTGAGCATAATTTTTCCCTATGGAGAATTTTGGTGATAGATGTCAGATTCTGACCACTTTCACATCATTATGTTTCCTGAGAGGGCTTAGCACAGTAATCATAGAGCACGTAGAAAAGAATGAGGGTTGAATGAATGTACCCTGATACAGGTGGGGACTCTTCAACAGCCATTCTATTATTTCCTTGGGCAAGCTAGTGTGTCAAGTGCTAATAAGTCATGGCATGATAAGAATCGCCAGCAGTAAAATTGTGCTAATTTTGTTTAGGAGTCAGGCATTTAGGAGAGGGGCAAGCTATACCACTCATACTGTGAGTTGCATCTCTATAGGGGTTAAATTCAAAAGTCATTATGTGAGTCTAATGCAGGTATGACGTCACTCATAGCATCTGCATTTACTGCAGTGACTTGAAGTAGCTGCCTTCCTGGCAGATTGTAGTTTTAGTACCAGCACCTAATAATCTCCTTTTCTTTAGGTATGGTATAAGAAACAGTTTACTTATTGCCCCGATGCCTACTGCTTCAACTGCTCAGATTCTGGGAAATAATGAGTCCATTGAACCTTATACCAGCAACATCTATACTCGCAGAGTCTTGTCAGGAGAATTTCAGGTGAGAAGATCACAACTAGACCTACAGGAGATCTTGCAAAAGCCTGTTGTTGGGAGTAACTGCCAACTCATATTTAGTATGTCCTTTTTGCTTAGTATGGGGGCAAAGCTTTGATAAAGTGAGTCCACTTTATCTCCAATGTTATTCTAAGTTATTTAATAATAGACATTTAACAAATATCTGTTAAAAGAATGAATGATTGAGGGGCGCCTGGATGGCTCAGTCGTTAAGCGTCTGCCTTTGGCTCGGGTCATGATCTCAGGGTCCTGGGATCGAGCCCCACATCGGGCTCCCTGCTCCGTGGGAAGCCATCTTCTCCCTCTCCCACTCCCCCTGCTTGTGTTCCCTCTCTGTGTACCTTCTCTCTGTCAAGTAAATAAATAAAATCTTTAAAAAAAAAAAAAAAAAGAATGAATGATTGAGGGTCAGGTATGAAAGTAGCTTGTTGATATTAGAGTTCACAAGATATTTAACCATTCTGTAATCATAATGATGTATACTATGACCTCAGATGCTTAAGTTGATGATACTCAAGATGTATACAGTGAAACTCAAGATGTATATAGAAGCAAGAAGTATATGGAACCATGACAATAGTTCTCAACCTGGTTTACAAATTAGAATTTCTGGTGGGTAGCACCAGTGTTTTTTTAAAGTTCCCAGGTAATTCTAATGTGCAGCTAGGGTTGAGAACCACTAATTTTTTTTTTAATTTTTTTTAAAGGTTTTATTTATTTGACAGAGAGAAAGACAGCCAGAGAGGGAACACAAGCAGGGGGAGTGGGAGAGGGAGAAGCAGGTTTCCCGCGGAGCAGGGAGCCTGATGCAGGGCTTGATCCCAGGACTCTGGGATCATGACCTGAGCTGAAGGCAGACGCTTAACGACTGAGCCACCCAGGCGCCCCGAGAACCACTGATTTAAAAGATTTTATTTGTGAATTTCCAGATTACCTGAAATAAATTTCTGTAAGGTTTGGAGTAGATACATTTCTAATTTTTCTTCTTAAGTATTTATTGTATCCTTACTTAAGGGGGAAAAAAAGAAGTAATCCACATAGATTTACCCATCTTAGGCAATGCTAGTTCTTTTTATTTTTGTAAATATCATGTTTCTTGAATCACAAATCAAGAATTTAAAGGAATATAACTTTTGTTTGGTAGGATGGGCCTCTCAGTCTTATAAAATATAGAATTTACCAACTAATTTAATGTTAAATACTTCTTCAGTGATCTTATTTATTTTAAGCTCCAGGCCTGTGATCCTTTTTAGGCTCTGTCATTCTTATTTATTCCTTGACATCTTTTTTGCTTTTCTATTCAGATTGTAAATCCTCACTTACTGAAGGATCTTACTGAGCGGGGCTTGTGGAATGAAGAGATGAAAAATCAGATTATTGCATGCAATGGTTCTATCCAGGTACAGAATGAAAAATCAAGTGTGCTCTTTAGAAGCTAAGTTGGACATTGGTACCTTCTCACTTACCCCATGCAGTGGAGAGAAAGGTTATTCACTGTGGTCATATGGGCTTATGTTAACCTCTGCATTGTTGTGCTAGTATTATATACATTTTCACATAGCTAGGCTTTACCCTCTTGTTTGTGCAATAATATGAAGCAGTAGTTTCTGACTTTTCTGTACATTAGAACCAGTTGGGGAGCTTTTAAAATTGTGAAGCTTAGGTTGTACCCCGTAACAGTTAAATTAGAATGTCTGGAAATGGGAGCCAGGCATTAGTATTTTTTTAAATACTCCCTAGGTATTTAAAATTCCAAAATGCATTAAAGTTTGGGGACCACTGATATAAAGTGTGAAATTAGAGTCAAACTTATTTAAAAAGTATGGTGGAGACTGAGGACTCAAAAGTCCAAAAAACAGAGCGACAGATAGTGTTTAACAATAAAATATTTGCAGCCAAGAATCAAGAAGTGTTTATTTTTGTAGGTGGAGGCCTCTGTCTAAACATTTGTCTCTCTGCCGACACAGATAAGGATTTCTGTAACATTTCTATATTTGCTGGCAGAAATGGTAGCATTAGCTAGTCTGTATGTTTTGATGCAAATTAACCCTAGACCTAAGAAAACATTATTTCTATTGACTCCAAAAGGGGTTTGTTTCATTGCTTCCCTTGATTGTCTGTCTATGAGTTATAGCCCTGATTACTTGTGTTTTCTGTAAAATTCAAGGGTCATTTTTTGCTGCTTAATAAATTATTATAAGTACCTTTAGAACAATGAATATTTTGGCTATAATCCAAATAGAAATGGATCTTAAAATCATTACCACTAGCCAGATATTTTGTTGATTAAATGGAGTTTCGTTGAACATTCTAAACCAGAGGTGAGCGTCTTAGGAAACTTGATAGGGATCATATTGTATGATGATGATACGGTCAGACCTGGCAGGAAGTAGAACTAAGGCCAGACCCTTGTGTCATTAATTACGTTAATTGTCCTGATTTCTTCAGCCAGACTGCAATAAACATTTGTTTTTTCTTCTTCAGAGCATACCAGAAATTCCTGATGACCTGAAGCAACTTTATAAGACTGTTTGGGAAATTTCACAGAAAACCGTTCTTAAGATGGCAGCTGAAAGAGGTGCTTTCATTGATCAAAGCCAATCTTTGAACATCCACATTGCTGAGCCTAACTATGGCAAACTCACCAGTATGCATTTCTACGGCTGGAAGCAGGTTGGTGGAGGAAATCAAGGAAGTTGGGATATTTTGGAATTAGAACAGTTTTATATTCTAGCTACCTATTAAATATTGCCACCTAGCAGTTCTTTCACTTCAGTATCTTAAAACCAAATCATGGTTTTTGTACCAGATCAAGCTCTTACTTCGGATTTTCTTGTTTCTTTTAGGATTATTTCATTCTTAGGTATGAAACCTTGGAGTTACCTACAACTCTCGCCTTATTCTCCATACAAACACTCACCAAGTTGTGGTGGTTGTTCCTTTGTACTGTTTCTTGAATATCTTTCTTCCTGTTCCACTGCCATTATTCTTAAACTTCTTAACTGATCTCCCTGCTTCTAGTATCTGCTCTAGGCTGTCTTGTGCACTGCTGCTGTTTCTAAAATGAAACTTTTACATGCGTCAACCCACTATTCAAAAACATCCTTTGTTTCCCCACTTTAACGATATACAGTATAAAAGCCAGTTACTTAGCTTCTCATTGCCAACTGTAAAGTCCTGTGATTCTGGATTCTATCCTTATTACCTGGCAATCTTCTGGGTATTTATATAGATTTACAATTTTTTTTTTTTTTAAGAGGCATTTATTGACCACATACTGTGTGCCAAGACTGGGGATACTGAATAGAAGATGATCCTTATCCTTGAAGTAGTCACCATCTGTTCTTTACAGAGACACAATCTAGCTCTATAAATAGTTATAAGACAGACATGTTTTAGGCAAACTTGTAAGTTATACACATCAAAACAAGAAAAGACTAAAGAACAAAAATATTTGACATTTCCAAAGAGGTAAGCTTTTTTAGTGGCAAAAGGAACACAGTATACTGTCTGACTCTACCTCTTTAAGCATTTTTGAAAAGGCTTCCTAGAGGAGTTGGAGTTTCAGGTATAGAAAACAGTCTGACTTGGTTTATGGAAATGTATTTTAAACATTGGTCTCGAATGCCTAGTATTCTTACAATTTCTAGTAGTTGTATTTGCTTCCTTTGTAGGGTTTGAAGACTGGGATGTATTACTTAAGGACACGACCAGCAGCAAATCCAATCCAGTTCACTCTAAATAAAGAGAAGCTGAAAGATAAGGAGAAGGCAACAAAAGAAGAAGAGAAGGAGAGGAACACAGCAGCCATGGTGTGCTCTCTGGAGAATAGAGAGGAATGTCTGATGTGTGGGTCCTGAGGAAAGGCTTAGAAGAGACCAGCACTTCCTCACAGCCAAACTACTTCTTGAGCATAGATAGGTGTAGTAGGTTTGCTTGAAGTGCTAAGGCTTTGCTGGACCTTAATGCAGCAAAAAGATCAGTCAATTTAAAGTACTGTTTCTATATAGTGTGAAAGTATTAATTTTTTAAATTGATATCTTGGGAATCAAAGTAGAAGTTTTAGGAGTGCAAAAGAAGTCACCTTGCAAATAGGGAGTGATTGAGTAGGGTTTCATTGCCCACCTGGCACCCTTTTCTGGTGACCTCAGTTTTCGTAAGGAAACTTCATTTTGCTGCTTTGACTGGTGGGTCCATAGAAACAAAACTGAGTCAACCTGTGAGAAGTGCTGACAGGACCTTTATCTGGATAAGGTCCTATAGGTCATTCTGAAATAAATGTTTCTAAGTGACTATGTGAGACCAAATTTGTCATTTATTTTCATACAGAGGTTAAATTTGAAAAAAACATTTTCTGAACTTTGAGAGTTCAGGGAAGAAATTTTAAGAAAAATTACCTAGATGCTGTGCAGAATTCTGATTTTAACATATGCCTATTTCCTCTTTTTATTGTGGTAAAATATACATAACATAAATATTACCATTTTACCCACTTTAAAGCATATAATTTAGTGGCATGAAGTACATATACAATATACAACCATCACCACTACCTATTTCCAGACATTTTTTATCATCCCACACAGAAACTCTAAAACAATAACTCCTCATTCCCTTCTCTCAATCCCTGGTAATCTCTGTTCTACTTTCTGTCTTTGAAGTTATTTATTCTAGGTACCTCATATAAATGGAATACTACAATATGTGACCTTTTGTGTCTGGCTTACTTCACTTAACATGTTTTCAAGGTTCATCCATGTAGCATATAGCAGAATTTAATTCCTCTTAAAAGCTGAGTAATATTCCATTGTAGTATATATCACATTTTGTCTATCCATTCATATGTTAACGGACATTGGGGTTATTCTCACCTGTTGGCTATTGTGAATAATGCTGCTGTGAACATTGATGCACAAGTATCTGTTTGAATTACTGTTTTCCGTTTTGGGGAGTGTATACCTAGAAGTGGAATTGTGGGAATATATCATAATTCTTTGTTTAACTTTTTGAGGAACTGCCAAACTTTTTTTTTTTTTTTTTTAAGATTTTATTTATTTATTCATGAGAGACAGAGAGAGAGAGGCAGAGGGAGAAGCAGGCTCCCAAGGAGCAGAGAGCCGATGCGGGACTCGATCCCAGGACCCTGGGATCATGACCTGAGCTGAAGGCAGACGCTTAACCATCTGAGCCACCCAGGCGCCCACTGCCAAACTTTTTTATTGGAGTTGCACCATTTTATATTCCTACCAGTAGTGTACGAGAGTTCCAGTTACTCCACATCCTTGCCAACAATTGCTAGTTTTTTGTATTTTTGATAATAGCCATCCTATTGGCTTTTGACAGTTTGATTTTAATGTATCTTGGTGTGGATCTCTGAGTTTATCCTCCTTGATGTTTGTTGAGCTGCTTGGATCAGTAGATTGACATCTTTCATTAAATTTGGGAAGTTTTCAGCCATTATTTCTTCAGATAATCTTTTTGCCCATTTCTTTCTTTTCCTTCTGGGACTCCATAATGCATCTTTTGGTCCACTGCTTGTGTCCCACAGGTCCCTTAGAGTTCATTCACTTTTCTTAATTCTTTTTTTGTTCCTTAGACTCAATAATTTCAGCTGTGCTATCATCATGGTCATTGATTTTTCTTCACGCTCACATCTGTTGAGCCCCTTTAATGAATTTTTTATCTCAGTTATTCTTTCCAGCTCTAAAATTTGTTTCCCTTGACCAATTTCTATGTCTTTGTTGATATTCTGATTTTAATACATTGCTTTTCTGATTTCCTTTACTTATTTGTCCATGTTTTCCTTTAGCTCTTTAAGCATATTTAAGACAGTTGTTTTAATATCTTTGTATAGTAAGTCTGATGGCTGGGCTTCCTCAGGGATGTTTTCTATCAATTTTTCTTGTTCCTTTGAATGAGCTGTTTTCCTGTTTCTTTGTAATGCCTGTGATTTTTTGGTTGTTGTTGAAATATTCTGTTTGAGACTTTTCCAAACTGCTTTTGCAGAGACTATTCCCTAGTGCATATGATCACTGAAGTCTCTGTACCTTTAGTGCATATTCAGTTTATGTTTTGACAGATTTCCTTGAGTTCAGGAGCTCTCTGTTGGTGCAGATTGGCTCTGTGCTAGGGCACTTTTTCCACATGTGACTAGGCTTGCTCTGAGCCTAGGCATCTGTGATGGTTAATTTTATGTGCCAGCTGGCTAGGCCATGGTACACAGGTATTTTGTCAAACACTAGCCTAGGTACTGCTGTGAAGATATTTTTTTTAGATGAAATTAACATTTAAGTCTGTAGACTTTGAGTAAATCAGATTACCCTCCATAAAGTGAGTTTCCTCATCCAATCAAGTTGAAGGCCTTAATTAAGAGAAGAAAGATTGAGGTCCCCTAAGAAAGAAGGACTTCTGCCTTCAGACTGCCTTTGGACTTGAGCTACAATATCACTTCTTCTCTGGGTCTCCAGCATGCTAGCCTGCTCTGCCAACTTCAGATTTGCTAGTTCCACAATTATGTGAGACAATTACTTAAAATCTCTCTCTCCCTCTCCCCTTCCTTCTCCCTCTGCCACCTAACCTCCTTTACCAACCCCTCCCCCTATTCTCTCATTGGTTTTGTTTCTCTAGAGAATAAGAACCCTGACTGATACAGATTTTGGTACCAAAAGTGGTTCTAGAGGAATAGAATCTTCAGGAAGAGTCTTCTGAATTGGTTCTGGAGTTTATGGAATTGGTTCTGTAATCTGATTAGATTTAAAGGCACTAATGACTATTTCCAGTAGTAAAGGGAGTACTGATAGTTTATGGTGTGATGTGGTAATAGAGACACTCAAAATACCATCATTGGGTACTCCTAATCAAACACTTTAAGAGGCAAGGTTCTGGGTGATCATGTATATGTTCTGCCTCAGGGGTATATCAGCTTTCTAGCCCTATGTCATAATTTAGTTCATCTTGATCACCTTTTCTACAATATATGACACTGTTCCAGTACATTGATGACCTGCTGATTGGACCTAAAAATTAGCAACTACTCTAGACTTACTGGTAGAACGTTTGTGTGTCAGAGGGTGGGAAATATGACAAAAATTCAGAGGCCTTCTATCTCTGAAATTTCAAGGGCTCCAGTGGTATGAGACATGTTGAGATGTTCCCTCTATGGTGAAAGATAAATTGTTGCATCTGGCTCCTCTTACAACCAAAGGACAGGCACAGTGCCTAGTGAGCCTCTGGATTTTGGAAGCAGCATGGTAACATATTCCTCATTTGGATGTGCTACTCTGGCCTCTTTATCAAATGACCTGAAAAGCTACTAGTTTTGAGTGGGGCTTGGAACAAGAGAAGGCTCTGCAACAGGCCTAGGCTGCCACACGAGCTGCCCTGCCCCCTGGACCATATGATCCAGCAGGTCTACGGTGTTGAGGTGGCAGATAAGGATGCTGTTGGGAGCCTCTAGGAGGCTCTTAGGAGTTTGGAGCAAAGCCCTGCCATCCTCTGTTGATAACTACTCACTTTTTGAGAAACATCTTTTGGCTTGCTACTCAGCCTTAGTAGAGACCGAATGCTTCACCATGGACCACTAAGCAACCTGAGCTGCTCATCATGAACTGCGTGCTGTTTGACCCACCAAGCCATAAAGTTGGTCATGCACAGCAGCATTCCATCATCAAATGGTATACACATTGAAGTGGTATATACAAGATTTGGCTCAAGAGGCCCTGGAAGTACACGTGAGTTACTGAAGTGGCGCAAATGCCCATGGTCCTCACTCCCATTACACCTCTACCAGCCTGCACCTGTGGCCTCGTGGGAGTTCCCTGGGATCAGTAAACAGGAGGAGAGAAAACTCGGGCCTGGTTTACACATGGCTCTGCACAGTATGCAGGCACCATAGCGCCTTTTAGGGAAATCCCTGAAGGACATTCTATTCCACTGACAGTTGTGGAAGTCTTTCAAGTAGGGAGTAACTTTTAGGTAGCTCACACAGGCTGCCATGAGAAGAGTGGCCTAACCTGTGGGTTTGGGTCAGACTCAAGTACCCTATCTGTCTAGTCGGGTCTTTGGCTCAGACTGGGCCCCAGGAAAAGACCTGGTCTGGGTATCTATCAGACTAAGTGGCCCTGGGCAGGACCTGACCTGTTTGTGTGGGCTAGTTGGATACTTGGGGTAGGCCTGACCTGTGTGCTTGTGTCAGATTGGGGGTATCAGGCCTGGGGCCTCACCTGTGTTTGGGACTGACTGGACTCTAGAACCCAACCAGTGTGCTTGGGTTAGACCGGAAACCAAAAGGCTGGCCTGTATATTTGGTCAGACTGGGCTTAGGCTGTATTTGGGAGAGGCTGGGTCCCAGGGAAGGGCCTGGACTATTGTTCCAGACTGAATGTTCAGAGCAGGTCGTGGTCTGTCTGACTTGCTCTGTACAACTTCCAGTGGGACTCTATACATCCAGATATTAATTGGGGCTTTCTCAGGGGGAAGAGGACAAAGAAACTAAACAGAAAGATAAATATGTATTGAGGTGCCTGGGTGGCTTGGTTAAACGTCTGACTCTTGATTTCAGCTCAGGTCATGATCTCAGGGTCATGAGATCCAGCCCTGTGTCGGACTCTGTGCTTAGCATGAAGTTTGCTTGAGATTCTCTCCCTCTCCCTCTGCCCATCCCTCCCTGCTCTCTCTCCCTCTCAAATAAAATAAAATCTTTTTAAAAAATTAAAAAAAAGGGGGGGGGCACCTGGGTGGTTCAGTAGACTTGTTGAGCATCTGCCTTCGGCTCAGGTCATGATCTCAGGGTCCTGGGATCAAGCCCCGCCTTGGGCTCCCTGCTCAGCTGAGAGGTCTGCTTCTCCCTCTCCCTCTGCCCCCACTCGTGCTCTCTCTCTCAAATAGTAAATAAAATCATAAAAAAATAAATAGGTAAAAGCAGTTTTATTATTGAATGGAAATAGAAAAAGCATTCTGAGAATTTAAAAAGCAATTGTTGGCCAACAAGGGACCTGCTGATTTGAGCCCATAATCTCCTCATGATTTCAGCCTGTCCCTCAGTAAAGCCTGCTTATTTCTTATTCCCAGGTGTCACAGCCTCAACTTCCCAAGTTAATAAAGTCCTCTCACCCTGGCAATTTCCCCTCCACTATCATACCTTGCATTCTCTCCAACCTCCTGGGCTGATTTCTTGCTATAGAGCATCTTTTCCACATATTGCCGATCTCCCTGGTCCTCACCCCATAAGTGACAGGATTCAAGGCTCCTGGGAGCAGCAAGTAGATGGCACTGAGCAGGTTCTGGACATCCTGAG